TTGCTAAGAAAAAGGAGAGAGTTGGGGTACAGAACTATCTTTCAGCTTAGGGGCTGGATATATTTTCAGAGAAAGAGATTCTAAATGCCTCCAAAACATCTTTTCCAACTCAGAGATATATTTAAATTTACAATGACCTATTGCAAGAATTAATTTGGACTTTTTGGGGGCTGTATTCTTTTCAAAACTGCATAGCCAAGTACTCAGCAACCCATGTAAATTGACCTAACATTTAGTATAGCCTCTGGATAGCTTTTATCAGTTGTCCAGATGGTGTTTGGCCTATGTATTTCAGTGGAATGGTTTATTTTCTCCTTGATAGGCTTCAAATGCACAAGAAAACATTATACCCGTCTATCTGCATTTGAGTAGAATGCAAACTGACTAATAGATAAACATTCTGTGTGAAAGTAAATAGCTTTAACATATACTGCCTTCACATTTCATTGACCAGCCCAGTCAGCAGAGTTCTACATATTGTCACTAATGTTCTAAATATTTTGGACAGAAGCAAGCCGCCAGTGTGAAGGATTTTCACTCGTGTCCCATCTAAAGTCTCTATGAACTACCTCATGAAATTCTACTGATCTTTCTACTGATGTAGTTTTTCTCTTTTCCTTCTCATCCCTGTTGGAAATGTTATTACAGTTGTGAGGAAGGGAATTAAGGGTTGTAAAGAAGGCTGTTTGGATCTCCTCCCTGGATAGGAACGAATTGACTGGTTCATTACCTCACATTCATTAGGAGCCTCCTCCAAGTTCTAAACATTTCAAGAGAGGCCAAGAGTAGGAAGAGCATTTACTCAGCTGTCCTAGGACTCAATGTACAAGTACACTTCTGAAGATCTGGAACTTGTTCTACCCCAAACTCTTAAATGGCCAGAAAAGGGGTCCTGATTAGACTAGTCCATGGGAAGTGTTTATAACAATGTCACAGGGAATTAAAAACAAGAATAGGCGGTGAGACTTTCATGTCTTCAACTTTCCCAGTCCGCTAACATAATCCTAGACCTGCCTCGGCTAAGTGGAAATCATATGTAATTTCAGCTTCTGCTAAATATATGTATCTCAGACCATTTATATCTCAAACTAACCTTAAGTCATTCACATCTCAAACAAATTTAAAGCCACTTAAAGCAGAAAGCCAACATGTATGGCTTCTGTTCATTATCACCGTTGTGAGAACAAAGCACAATTGTCACCTCATGTATTTGGCATTAAGTCTCGCAAACCACACACCACAAAATGTGGGTTGATACTGGATTCTTGAAACTTGACTAAAGAAGAGACTGGGTTTGTCACAGCTTGCCAGATGTGTTTTAGCGAACACAGCCTATTGGTGGAAATGAGATGTGAAGTCTTAAAAACAGAAGAGAGATCAGCGCTGTGCAGGAAAGCTAACTTGTGACTGAGATCAATATGGGCCCACGAGTCAGTGGATATTACAATCTCCTTAGCATGGGTAGTGCTCAGGGGAGATCCAGAATAGGACTCTATCATTTACTCATTTGTGAAAAGCAGAAGCATCTTAGACTTATTATCATTTTTTATCCTTAATGAAAGGCACTGCTTTTAAGATATGGAATATTTATATTTAAGAACAGTGTTCATTGATAGACTTTCAGAGTAGATTAAATTCTAGTTCATTTGCTCAGTTTTAGCAACATGAAACAGTAAAGAGGGGGATTACTAATCAGACATGATAAAATTTTGAAATACCATGATGTTCTCATTCACTTTCTCTGTGTTAATGTTTCAGAGAAATGGCTTACAGATGAGCTAGGAAAAAAAAAAAACTTTTTTTTGAAAGGAAAAAAATAACAGAAAGGCCTTTCATGGGGCTGCCATTGAATTTATTTAAAATTACCTTAAAATTACATCACTTATTGAATACACAAAATGCCAGTGCTTTGCAACAGTTACTGCATCTCTATTTAAAACAAAACAAAAAACGAACAAAAAGAAAAAAAAAAAAAAGGATGGGGCAAAACCCAGGAAAATACATTCAAAATGCTTGGCTGTTCTGCTTCGGCACAGGGAGTGCCGGAGAAAGCTCTGTCCTGCGCTGTGATCGTGAGAGGCATTGGTGAACATCAGCCAACTTCCCATGAAAACTTGCACACAACACATTACAGGAGACAAAGGACAACCTGGTGGGAGGCAGGAGCAGAGGTGGGGATGGAGCGAAACGCCACAGATGCCATGCGGTAGTGTTCAGCAGTGAAAGAAGGCATTAAAGACTAGTGCTTTGGGAAACTAGATTATGGCAAAAAGAAAAAAAAAAGATGGAAGAAAGTACAACACAACAACAGGACAAAACAGAAAAGTCCCACCTTCGGCAAGCTCTACTGTGGTCGACATGTCCATGTCTAACTTCTTACTGGACTTTCCCAAAGAAACGTAAAGAAACCGAGGTAGAAATGAACGTGGGAGAACTACAGCCGGGGGTTTCAAGATGAGAAGCCAACATGCACTGTGAAGACTGAAGTCAAGATGAGGGATGAGGGCGGGGGACATGGAGAGGTTCTCTGTGGAGTCGTAGAGTTGGTGGCTCTTTTTTTTTTTCTTCTTAATTTGTGTGTTTGATTTGGTTCTACCCTCTGCATTCTGTGACACAGCCCGGCAAGCCTAGAAACTCTCAGTGACTAGAATGACGACACCCATTCCCAGCAGTGTAAGAGAGAGAGAAGGAGAGCTTCCAAAATAAAACCTCCACCACCTCCCCCACCTCTCCCATGGCAGGAAAAGGCAGTTACAGTTTCTAGATTCTGTCATTTCCAAGGTCCTAGATAGGTCTGCGGCTGACTGCTCTAAACACCAACACGAACTGAATACATAAGCCTTCAATGAGCCAGTGTAATGTTTATGAACATTTTCACCTAATCACCAAGGAGAGCAATGTATTAAAAACTCTTCAGTAATTGTTCTGCTCTGGTTAATTCCCCATATTTTGTAAGAGAACTTAAAAAAAAAAAAAACAACCTTCCGTTTCTACTTTCCATGGTAAATATTCAGTTGTATCACACTTCAGTAATTTTTCCGGATACATTCAAAGTAATTTTCCTTGCTATTCTCCAATTGTTGAGGTAAACATACATTTTAATATAAAGTAACATCGAAGCCTAGCCTATTACTCTCAGCAGTACATAGTGCTTTTAACACATTCCTTTGAGGTACTGGACAAATCACAATCACTTTCCTGAGTTTTTGCAGACAAGAACATTAAAAGAAATGAACTGCAGAAATTAAGGTCCAGATTACCGTTACCCTGTGTTACCTGTTCTTAGCTTAACACTGCAGAACAGACAGGATTGAGGAATACTGTTGCTCTTAAAATGGCAAAAAAATCTGGTTGTCTGTTGTAACACGACCGTTCATCTCTTTAGTCCAATAATGTTTGAAGTTAAAGCTCTTTATATTAGCACATGCCACCAATGTAATTGTGAGGCAAACGAAAAAAATAAAGCACCGCTCCAGGCACTTGACAGCAACTAAATCTCGAGAACAGCAGAATGGAATCAACACACGAGGTTCATGTCCGTCTGAAATCAACACACTTGCACCTTGCGTTGCGGTGAGTGTTGTCTCGCTGGAACCGATCCGAGCATCCACATGGATATGCTTTCTGTCATCTGGGGCTTTCCAATCAGAGGCTCTCATCTGATGCGTGTCTCCTCCAAAGCTACCCTGCCTCTACAGATGCAGCGCAACCGTCGTGTTCCCCAGTACCCTCTGCAATCGAAACACTACTGGAAAGGGGCTCTATTCCCTATGTAGCAGGTTTTATGTGTGTGTGCCAACATTCATTACATTTTGTTGTTTGTTTGTTTTGTTTTGTTTTGTTTTTAACTTTTCAAGACTGAATCACTGACTGCAACCAAACATTTTGTTCCATTCAACATACATATCAAGCTCTTTCTGAGTTATGCTGGGCTGAATCTTGCAGAAAGCATTTTCAAAGTCTTGATACGTAACGGGCCTCAACTGGCTGGGCATAATGGCCGAAAGGTCTGTGGCTGGAATTGCATGGAGAGGGCCCACTGCTGCTTCCTGACACAAATGGGCCACGTCGAGTCCAGAAAAGCCTTCCGTACGCTGGACGAGCAGTGCAAACTCCTTGTCATTGAGACAGTAATTGTGCTGTGAGAGCAGTTGTACTATTATCTGGTGCCTCCCTGTGCTGTCAGGAAGTGGGATTAAAAGTCTTTTCATGAAGTACCTGCGAAGAGATTCATCTATTTCTTCGGGTTTACTGGTGGCACAAATGACTACGATTTGGTCCTCAGCCGAAGTCAGCACAGTGTCCAGCTGCATCAGAAACTCGGTTCTCATCCGACTGACTGGACTGTGCTCCTCGCTCACTTGAGAGGAGAGAAGCATGTCAATGTCACTAACAAAAATCACCGAGGGCTGGCGACACCGGGCCACGAGAAAAGAGGCATGGATGATTTTCTCCGCTTCGCCTAACCACTTCGCAACTAGTCCGGAGCCAGCAATTTTGAAAAAGGTGGCCCCCAGCTGACTAGCTATGCATCTGCCCAAGAGCGTTTTGCCTGTTCCCCGAGGTCCAAAGAGAAGGACGCTCCTTGGCAAGGCCGTCAGCCCGCTGAACGCATCGGACCTCAACACTGGCCACAGAACCTCCTCCTTAATGACAGCCTTCACCAGGTCAAGACCAGCAATGTCGCTCCAGTCCACGGGAGGTCCTTGGGTGATGATCTCATTGGTGACTAGGTCAATGAGGTGCGTGTCAGTGTTCTTCAGTTGCTCGTCCACAGAGTGGTTTGATGAGGTAGCTGCACGGAGTCCCGGACCTTGCATTGGATGAGCGAGGAGCTGCCTAGGGTCTTCCCCGTGCTCACTCATGACTGGCGACGTGTACTTCCCAAAGGATTCACTGGATCTTGATCCCAGGGAATTTTTAGCAGTACTGTAGGAAGGAGGGGTCAGAGCCCTACTGGACTGACTGCTGAATTTCCTTTGCTGTTCAGAGGACATCAGTTGCTTTGTTGGCTTAAATGCTAAGGATGATGTTTCAGCATTTCTGTCAAAGCCATTCCCCCGATTCGCGTTTGAAATGCTGTTGTCGGGCATTCGGTACATCGGACTCTGTGTCGATCTCTGTTGGCCATAGCTGTAGTTTCCGTAACTGGAGTCCACATCTCCTTGCCCTGCCATGTAGAAAGCTTTCCTTTTGAGAGAACTTGCCGAGCTGTTGGCCAGAGTGGAGGGAGCGATGGGCGTCAAACCATGACCCTGGTAGGTGTAGCCAGGAACGGTAGTGGGGGGCAGAGGGGTCGGAGCAGGAATTCCTGAAGGCAGGTATGCAGAAGGAGGCGGGGGCGCTCCACCAGGGCTGTACCCAGAGCCCACGGCAGTCTGAGGAGGGTAGCTAGCAGAGGGATAGCTGTAGCTGGAGAGATTGGAAGTCCCATTGTAGCCTGGGACCAGGGCTGGTGGGGGAGGAGGAGGGGGCGGTGGCTGCAGGAGCCCAGAGCTATGAAGTGGGGACGGATGAGGCGAAGGAAGTGCAGGGGTGGGCTGGCTGCTGTACGTAGAATGCAAATATGATCCGTTGTATCCTGGAGCGTATTCCTGAGAGGGGAGCCCTGCATGAAGACTAGGTACTGTGTGGCTTCCACAGGTACTACTTGAGTAACTTGGTTCTGTCAGGTTGCTGGCCACCCCAGGGGAGCTCCCTATACTTGCAGAGACATCTACCGGAGGGAGGGCTGAACTGACACCAGCTTTGCTAGCAGTGATGACATCCGGAACACAGTTCATAGGATAAACGGCTTCTGAATTCAAGGAAGGCTGCCAGGGTTCACTCTCATTTTTCCGACCGTTCACGAGTCCGGATGGTGTGTCGGAATAATTGCTGAGAACAGGTCGGTCCACGGGACCTTCCAAAATGCCAGAATACTTCTCTGCATATTTCTTCAGAAGGTTGGATGCAGTCAGAGCAGATATGTCATCGTTTGCCCAGGCGTACTGGTAGGTGCGCTGCAGATGACCTCTGTAGGCTTCAACTTTGTGGGCAGGAGACCGAGTGGTTGAAGTGATGTCAAAGTGCTGTTCTGGCCACTGGGCATGCTCCGGCGTCCACTGCATCTTCAAGCCTAAGTATTTGGGGGGAGGGGGGAAGAGAGTAAATTTACTTAGACATTCATCAGAACTCTTAAAGCTTCCTCCCTGACTACAACTGTTATCTATTAATCTATTCTCTCCCTTAATAATACAGACATGGGCAAGGATGCTCCTAGATTCTAATATCTATTGTAATCTCTATAATACAAATTTTTCAAAGTAGGGTAAAAAAAAATCAACCCTATAAAAATATAAATCCAATATAAAGGAAAACTCTGTAGAAAGCCATAGATAGATAGATAGATAGATAGATAGAGATATATATTTATATATATGCAAGCCTTATTGCTGTCAATCCCATCAAGTTACTTGTTAACCACACACACTTATAGAATGTATATGTAGACACAAAATACTGTCCAATTAGAATTCGATCACAGTCGCTTGCAATACCACACACATACATTTTAATATCTGGCATGCAATACGGCTAGCGTGTATGCCACCTAGTCATTTGGTTCTCCCCATCGGTTTCTGTTTTCTATTTTAACAATATAAGAATGAGACACAGCTGACAGGCCGCATCTGGGATGCCTCTCTTATTTGGTCCTGAACACCTAGTTAGCACAGTATAATGCTCCCTGCACAGAATAATATGACACAGACATAGCAGGTCATTTCATAATCCAACTCTCATCTAAAGTGGTCCACGACAGTTTCAAATCTGCTTCGTGGAGTGCAGCAAAGCAATCTCCCAGGCAGCGCTCCAACGCTTTCATCGCACAAAGCCTACAACTCGGTATGAATTACAACTGGCTCCTTTCTGCCTCTCAGTTCTGTTGTTGAGTCTGGAAAAAAAAAAACAAGCATCACTTGTCTGTGGGGCTTCTAGTGTTGTTCTCCCTCCTCCTCTGGTAATCCTCCTCCCCTTATAGACTGGGAGGTACCAAGTGGGGAGTGATATATATATATATATATATATATATATATATATCACATATATATATATATGTGTGTGTGTGTACATGTATATATATACACACACATATATGTATATATGTATAAGAAAAAGAGAAAGAAAACAGGCAAGAAGGCAATGATCAGAGTGGAGAACTGGACTCTAACTCCTTACATTTCTATAGTGAGCCATGCGTGGCAGAAGAAACGGAAAGAATACGACTCAGCAATGAGGTCATAGGAGTAATTCCCTCATCTGGCAGACCGCTAACTGAAGCCAGGGACCCCGGAGTAATCCTGAAACGAGTATTTTCTGATTTAAGAGAAAATACTCAGCTATTAGAATCAGACGGTCATTTTAATTTAGAACTTTTGAAAGGCCTTAGAAATTACCTGGTTCACACATTACACAAGCAATGCCGAAAGCGACTCATTTAAGATGTACCCTTGAGGGTTTCATGCCGTTAGGTACCGAGGAGTACGGGAACTCCGTTCTCCTATTTTTCATTGCTTGTTCATCTTCTCTCTAATCTCTGCTCACTTGGAATGAACACTTCCTTTTCTGCTACAGCGGTTTTAAGATACCCTCCTTAATCTCTTTTGTATTACCCAAAGTGAATTTTGCAAACCGCCTTGTGCCCTCTGGCAAGGAATCCATGATAAGAAGAAGACCTAGTCTAAATGAAGCATCTGTGGCATTGCTTGGTTCCCTTCTGAATTCCCCCAGCACTGTTGACAGCTCTTCTCCCCTCTGTTCTCCTCCCCCAAGCACTCCAGCTCCTCACTGCCTGACTCTGGCTTCTGACATGGCCAGCGTTGACTCGCTGAGCTAAACTGAACAGAGCACACAGTTTGGTAACAGAATGGCATGTTGATTCCCTTCTGACTCCCTCTTCCTTGTTTGCAAAACCACTGCACCAGACAGTGGAAGTTAATTAGCAGGAGGATGCTGTGCTAATTGTGTTAATTTACAAGGTTTTAGTCAAAGAGAATCATGCCAGGGCTGGCACTGCTGTCATGCTTCCGACTTAATGATTAAGAAATACTGAAAACAAGGTGGGAAGGATTGCAGTAATTACACAATAAATGAATAAAGCAACAGGATTCATTTGCAAATATAGTTTACTGCAGTTGTACTCATTTGCATTTGGATTCTTAAAAAGGATCCATGCAGATATTCATTTGCGCGGCACCAACTCAGTGAAATTAAGTTTGAACGCTGCACAAGTTAATCAACCTCTCTCTCTCTCTCTCTCTCTCTCTCTCTCTCTCTGTGTGTGTGTGTGTGTGTGTGTGTGTGAAGTAAAAATACCAAAGATCATATTCTTTTGTATATGCAACAGACGCTTTACTTTTCTTCAAATATTCATATATGTTCTGATATACTTTAAACAATCTAGCCAATCAGTAAAACAGCATTGCGAACCCCAAAGAAGCACACCTTTATCCTTCCACTCAGAGACATAGGGAGGGGTGAGCAGAGCTCCAGAGAGAACAAAAGTGATTCTCCTAATTGTTTATGCCTTCTCCATCATTACTTTCTTAGAGGAGAGAAATACACCACAAAATGGACAAAACGACTGAAACCACACTTGGGGGGGGGGGAGACGCAATCTGAATGAAGCGGCTTCTCAGGAACCATACTTTCATTAAACACAACTGGAAATTATTAAGGGCAAGTCACCAGGAACCCATTGCAAGCCGTCAGTAGCTGCACTCTTCTGGCGTCAAGAGATTTATCTGAAGCTTTACAAAAAGGAGAGACTATAAATGTGACTGCAGTGTAGAACTAAAAGGCCTACAGATTCATCCATCCCATGATTATTTCCAAGTAATTTCCATTAGGATCTTTTGTCTTTTAAAAAAAATATGCTTGACAACACTGAGTAGTGAAAACAGTTGTGCATGTGCCATGACTGGGCATTTTATTAGACTGATAACGAGGAAACATGAAAAAGTAGCTCAAGAACAATTTAGAAGTCACAGGCAATGGGACTTAGCACAACACATGAGAGGGCAAGCACACGCCTATGCATGTACACATACACACATGTGCATGCAAGAATGCAAAATGAAAGAATTCAGCTTCCATCCAGTTAGTTCAGATCTATTTGTCACAGTTAGTTAATAACCATGATAGAAAGAAATAACCTTTAATAAAAGTGAAACTGCTTTAAATGGAGAACAGTTAAAAAAGAAAAAAGAAGTGGGGCCTTCTCTGACTGTCTTGGTTTAAATAAAGTTTTCATATGAATTAATCATTTATAAAAATGCAAACATAATTTTAATATGTTACCATTGCTGTAAGAGATAAGTCTATGCAGTTTGAACAAAATGGATTGCCCACTTAAACTGAGGATTTATGTGCAGATTTAAATGTGGCAAAACTAATTGAATTTCCAAACATTTCTGTTTCATCTGAAATTAAGTGAAGATCTTATCCATCAAAGTAACTTATTGGAATACTCAATCAATTGAATATACTTACTGAGGCAATCAAAAGTTTACCTATGGTTGCATACTAAGTAACCATAACCTAGCAAGCCAGAGACAGGAAAGGTTGAGTTAAACACCTGGAGGAAACAGGATTGTCTAGGAGAGCTCTGGAATTATCAATGCTATTTGAGAGCAAAGGATAATCTTTAAACATAGACTAGATCCTGATATTGGTGGGATCCGCAATAGTCAGTGTTCAGGAGCCTGGTGGGGCCTTGTGATCATAAAGAGCCTATGCACTAGGGCTGAAATCTCAGCATTACATGGAGGGGGCACCAAATCAATTGCTGGTGTTATCCCTGTTTACTGGGGGTATTAAAGTAGAGGACAATGTGGCACCCAATGTTCTTTGGACAAAGGTATCTTGCCTCGGTTTACTGCATTATTGCCACCTGTGAGAGTAGAAGGCTCCTGTCACCTAACCTGGTATTCAAGCAATCAGATGCGTTTTTATAAGCAGCTTTGATGTGATTTTTCTCTATTGAACATAGGAAAAAATAAGTCCTGGTAATGACATTATCTTACATTTTAGAAACTTGTTTCCAGAAGAGTAACTCCCACTTTTGTTTGGAAGTATTATCCATAATACAAGAAAAATGAAAATCAGAAAAGAGTCAGGCCCATGCTTCTAAACATAGTATTGGGAGGCTGAGGGCTATCTTGGCTCACATAACTTCTTCCCCACCCCCTCCATAGAATAGAGGAAAACAACACCTATAGCCTTTAAAGATAATTGAAACATTGTTCCAAAAATGTCAACATTTACTTTGGGAAATATGAGTAATTTATTACCTAGCTAGCACATTTCACAGCAAAATGTATTTATGTTTCAAAATAATTAACGAAGTTATTGAAAATTAAGTTGATGGTTTATCAGAAATGTTACCTATAGATGGCAGATACGATGGTCCAGTCTTTGAGGCTTTGTTTCTCCTATTCTTGCCACAGGATGAACTGTGAGCATCTAAATGAGCATCTCTCTTTCTTGAATACGACAGAGCAGGGATGTGTATGGCATGCTTGACCATTTTAGAATTTGGTCTCTGCCTTACAGTGTTCATTCTGAAGCTTAACAACCAAAATGACTAAAGTTCAGCCACAGTTTCAGAAGTTTAAAGAAAAAAAATAGCAAAAGTGACGAAAATCATATATCGGAAGGGGAGGGAATTAGAGACAAACAGGTAAGGTCTCCTAGAATCAATTTTTAGCATATATTTCTAGAATTACCTGAAGCCACTTACTTAGCACCTCACCTTAATACTTGTGAGATATAACAGTTCCAGGTGTTACAATTTACGTTTCAGCTGTGTTCCCATGGGGCCCCTCTGCCTGCTGCTAAGGACTGCTTTCTTCAGTCTCATAAGGGTAAAGACCCCAGGCAAACACTGTAGTGTAGCAGGCTTGCGCTTGGGTACCTGCGCAGCAGTGCTCATGTGACCACATGTTCATAATGTTCTGTGGGTAACTGTACCGATGACCTTTTCATTATTTTTTTAAAAAGTACTTAAGAATCTTAATATAATATTTATCAAGATTCTTTGTAGAAAGCAATCGTTGTTGGGATAAACAGAGCAAAGTA